TTGCACTTGGTTAATATTATTTTCATTACGTTTTGTGTTCAGACAATGTAAAAATAATATGACATCCATTCCATAAATTAGAGAACTATAACGCATATAATATTCTATTTTTTAAAACAAAACTGACAATTACAAAATCCAATGGCAAAATGTTATCTACCTCGTTACTCTATACTAGTAAATCATAAAAACTAATGTCTTAACCCTCTCATTACTACTCTGTAATACCTCAATCTATGGCAATGGGAGGAACTGGATGACCGGCTTCCAAAAACACCTGCACGTACATCCAAAAAATTACTTATCTTTACCAAATACATAAAATTTGCAATTACACAAATATTAGACAACAATGTTTGGTTATTTTCATAACTTATACCTGCACAAAATGATTTCCATTGACAAATCCAATGGCAATCTCGCGACGATCAGCTAGGGTTACCGACAGTGATCTCAAAGGTAAGAAAGTGAGACACTATTACAATGACAAGTGGTACAAGACTACATTATAAAATGATGCAATAAGATACCCCATGTCAGGCATAGTCATCCAACGATCAAAGCCTAGGCTATTTTCAAATATGAAAGGATGTGTGCCAGCTCATTAACCCTCTCATGCAACCCATATAGTACGACGTATTCATCTCTGTGATTATTCAATTCAAGTAGCAGATCACGCCTAACTTGCACCCAGTCATTCTCTCCAAGACCAAGTAAACTTGCAATAGCTCTAAATCCACAATTTCCATCACCATCTACATCCTTCATCAACTTTATGAATGGTATTAATGTAGGCGGAAAGTCAGCAGCATATGCACTCGGTAAACTTGTTCTTGTACGATATGTCTTCGTCTTCACATTCCGCTTCTTCTCATGCACTTTTGAAGCTCTCTTTTTCTTTGACTGACTGGAAGCTAATGTGCTCTGGCTATCATGCTCATCGTCAACCAACTCAAATGCACACGGGTCACGACGACAAGATATATTAATTTTCTTATGTCCTCGACGTGGATTACGTTTCACATCGGGCTTAATAAGAAAAGTGCTCGCTGGATTTGCAATTTCCCTCAACTTCTTTAACATATCCAATTGCATGGCAATATCAGACTCTTCAAACCATTTTAAAATCAACTCAAGTTCTGGGATACAAGTCAATTCCAACTTCTGTTCCTTCGGATTATGCACACATATAGTAAGGCGCGTCCAATGTACATGTATGCTACTGAGTGGAATAGGACGGCCTTGTCTCGTGTAATCTGCAATCTCCTGAGCACAAGGTAAACCATGTGTGCGCCTAAGAACACACCCACATGTTGCAACATCAATTCCAACTGAATTTGCTCTCTTACTCTCTGCTAACACGTACTCCAATGCACAAATAGACACATTACCCCGGAGCTCTCTGAATTGAGAAGGTTTGAATTGATGTTGTACAGTTGTCAAACTCTTCTCGAATGATGCTTTAACTTGAATGTGCTGCAACTCAAGTAGACAATGTATTTTTTCAAATGAAACCTCAAATGTCGTTTGACTTGAACCTAATTGCCTCTTCAATTTAGCATGAGCACTCTCAACCCTGTTCATATGGATGTAAACCAAAATAGTCAAGCATAATAATTAAAATAACAATATGATTTATAATAAATTTAAAAAAAAGAAATAAATCTTACCGATTGGTTGTAACATTGCCAAAATGCATACACATGTCTGTATGTACCGCAATGAATTTTTCTTGATACGGACTCAACCAACTCACAGTAACATATTTGATTTCCTCCGGATAGTTACTAAAATCCTTATGTAGTGTTACAAAGTGATCATTGTATTCCTTTTCAGTCGATGACAATATCAAATAGTTCCATGCAGTGTTAAACTTGCCCTATTTTTCTTTTGTCTCAAACATTTTCTTGCATTTTGTCAATACATTATTATTAATATGCCAACGACATAACAAATGTCGAGCATTCGGAAAGGTGTTGTCAATGGCATTCATCAAAGCAAGCTCTCTGTCTGTGACAATGACTTCAGGTAAAACACTGTCGTCCATAAGATCACGCAATGTTTGTAACGCCCATGCATAATTATCAACCCGCTCAGTTTGCAAGTATGCGATAGCCACGGAGAATGTCATATGAGTTGATGTTACTCTCACAATTTCAAGAAGAGTAAGCCGATATCTATTCGTTTTATATGTGCAATCCATAATCAACACATGAGGGCATGTACGA